CGGGGGGGGGGGGGGGGGGGGTGATTTTTACACTTTCATTCTTCGTCACGACGTCATGGATGGTATTGATGACATATTTTACATAGTGCCATGAGCTTTTAAGTTCAAAGGTGAAGATCCAACGCAAGAAGAGTTGCAAAAAGTCGAGAACAGTAACATTGTGAGCCCTAAATTCTCGACTCTCGTCGATTGTTAATCTGACCGAAGACTACCTGATCTAATTTGCTACTGGTATCTCGAAGTCTAATGTCTTTGTGTCAACTTCCTGAAAGTTCTAGCAAATGGGCTTGGAGGGGGAAAGACTGCCTCGACCAGTCAAGGAATATGTGATTATGTAGCTTAATCTGCGTGGTGTTTACTTAATATTTATTTTATTTTTTATGTTTTGTTATGGAAAGCATCTACAAATAGTCAATATTGAGGAAGCAGACCTGACACACTATTATGAGGGAAGCGAGCTCATCGCCGTTCCGGAGGCTTATTCTAGGTAACTGTATCTCATCGTAGTATTAATATCCTTGGTGTTCAAGATAGTTCCTGGGAGAATTGTGGATCCAGAGATGAGTGAGGTTTCTACACTGTTAATGAGCTCAAATTCTGAAGAGCGTGGTTTGCGTTGCCAATGATTCTCAACACATTGACTTGACAGCCTCCGATATTTCAATTTTTCCTTCCCAAGAAAAATGCTGTTCTTGTACTCTTTTTCGGAATTTCAGGATGTGGCAACGTCAACATCCAATATTGATATGACCACCACGTTAACCCAACTGTTCGAAGGTTTGCCACATAATGAAAGACATCAGGTTAAATAGCAGAAAGTAGTTTTGTAGATCGAGCACGAGGTTCAACGTCCAGAGACTCTTCGGCGTTTTGAAATTTCCAACTCGAAGCGGAATCAAATAATTAAGAATGTCTCTAAAAAAAAATCAGGTGATAAATTTGACAGAAGTAGAATTAAATTGGCAATAAAGAGAAGACGGCATGTGATAATGCGAGCGACAAGGAACACCAATAAGAAGATAGTCACAAGATCACAAGGAACAGGAGTTAAAATCAATCAAGGCAGGAGCAACCAATCTGGATGCCATGCTCTGCCAAACTAGAACTAATACGTGTGATCCTTCACCTCAAAAAACAATCCCTAATGCTGCAGCCTCTATTTCAACTTCTGTGTAAAACGATCGCAACTTGACAAGAGATATTACAATTTCGGGAAACAAACTGAACAACGCACACTGCACAATACACCTATTCACCCTATAAACCTATGAATAACTACGGAAAGTGACAAGATATTGTCAGCCATTACCATGACTAGTCTAATCAAGAAACTCCCGTAAGAAATAACGATCATTTACACTATAAGCAGTCATTTGTCATTCTCGAAAAAAGAAACACCATGTAACGCTATAAAACCCAGTGATCCTATCCATTCCCACAATCGAATAAAACATGGACTACAATCTTCTGATGCATTCTGTGGTAGGCAAATAATCCTACGATTTCTAGCGCTAGATCAGTCGGTGATAGAGGACATGTTAACTGGCAAAATGAAAACCCGTTAGAGAATTAGACAAAAACATTGGTGAAATAGAACAAGTCTACTCAACTTTCATGAAAAAACCCCGACAATTGTACTGCAAACCGTTCCTTCACTTTCCAAAATGCACTACATTCAAGTTGGACGCTTAGGATACAAGCTCAAACAAATCTCTCAATACACGGGAGTCTTCTCTACGTCCTCAACAACGCTAATCTTATGGGGCTTCGCAAGAAAGTCGGTAAATTCCTGGAAGGGCGACTTCGAGAAACGAGTTTCTCTCCATAGGTCGGGGGTCAAGAAACCGTAGGTCTTCAAAAGGCACTCGAACGTGGCCTGCATCACAAAGTGACATTAAAAGAAGGAATCACATTGTACTTTGTCAACATCCTATGAACAGGGACAATTGTCTTAAAAAAGAATTGGACTTCTATGATAAAAATCGAACTGAAATCAACCTTCACGATACCACTATCTCATTGTACATCACAAAAAATCGAAGTGGACAGTGACGTCAACAAATACCACAAGTTCTGTACATCCATCATTTCCTCGTAGGACTGTGGGTGATTAACAAGACCGCCCCCACACTTAGCCTCCATATTTGGAAAAATGAATATTACAGATACTAAAAGAATTCAGTGGAGGTGATCTAGAGACTAGGACAATTTCAGTTCCGAATCGAGAAACCCTAATCAGGATTTAATACAGTACATTAACACACAAGCATCACACGCCCTAAGCAAATTTGCTCACCTTCACGAAATTACCGAGGGTCTTGGTGGATCCGCGGGAAGAGGTGAAAACATCCTCAATACCGGCGAACTGCAAAACCTTCTTGGGCACGCGTGCAGCGACGATTCCAGAACCCCTGGGGGCGGGGACCAGCCTGACAGTGACGGAACCACACTTCCCAGTGACCTTGCAAGGCACGGTGTGGGGCTTGCCAATCTTGTTACCCCAGTATCCTCTGCGGACAGGGATGACAGAGAGCTTGGCCAAGATGATGGCACCTCTTATAGCGGTAGCAACCTCCTTGCTGCACTTAACCCCGAGACCAACATGGCCATTGTTGTCACCGACGACAACAAAAGCTTTGAACCTGGTGCGCTGTCCGGCACGAGTCTGCTTCTGCACGGGCATGATCTTCATGACCTCATCTTTCAATGCAGACCCCAGGAAAAACTCCACAATCTGGTGTTCTTTAATAGGCAGGGAGAAGAGGTAGATCTGCTCAAGGGACTTGATCTTCCCCTCCTTCACCAACCTTCCGAGCTTAGTTACGGGCACCCACTTCTCCTCCTCGTCGCGCTTAGCGCCGCGACGTCCACCGCGTCGGTCGCCCCTGCCTCTGTCTCCGCGGCCGCCTCGGTCGCCTCTATCACCACGGCCAAACCCACGGCCGAAGCCTCCACGCTCTCCACCTCGCTCAGCCATGGTTACCAGTGGATTTACGCTACGCAAACTGCGTCGCGGGGCGGGAGTGATCAAATCCGAAAACCCTCTCAAGCAAAGCAGCAGCGCTCGCGAGAGTGAAAAGGAAAGAAACCACCGCCGCTCCCTCGCCTTCAGTCCCTCCCTCGCGAGCTCCAAACCCTAACTGAGCCGAGCCTGGCCCAGGCTCGGAACCAGACCTCGCGGCACGAGCCTCTCCCCCTGTCGCAGCCCCGGTGGAACCCTAATTGCCATGGAAATGTGGTGCGCAAAATTAGGGCACCACATTTTTCAGGATAGGGTTATTGGAGTAGAATTTACTCTTAAACTATTTTGTGGGTTTCTGTAGAATTTGAACTTTGAATTTAGGTTTTTAATACACAAATTATGTCACTTCAAATAGTGGAGCATTCTAAAACTTCTCATTTAAACGTTTGTTGAGATCAATGTTTTGTGTAATAAATTAATACTAAATATACATATATATATATATATATATATACATACATGCATGATGATTGTTTTTTAAACAGCGAAAGTAATACAATATTACTAGTTATAGCACATTAATGATTAATCTTTTAGATTTGGTCTCGTACTCATTTTTATTGAAAATACGTTTTTGAATGTGGTCCAAATCAATTGATTGTAGATTTCAATGGCTTTTAAAAGAAAACAAAATACTTGTTATGCATGCATATAGTGCAAACTTTATGAACAATTATGAACAACTATTCATGCAAATTTGCATTATGAATAACATGAGTGGAAACTTTTGAATTACACCAATTTACTTTTCATGTTATTCAAATTTTAGATTTTCAGTTTACATTTGAAATCTTCACATTTTTTTTCTAATAACTTAACTGGTGATTTTATTTAATTTTGGATAATTGCACCTTTCACAAAACAAACACAACTTCATGTTTTAAAATTTAACTTCTTTCTGAGGAGTTTATAACCCTACAAAGATAATAAGATGAACTGGATATAATTGTAATACTCACTACAAAATATTTTATGGAAAATTTGAAGCTCTTAGGACAATGAAAATAAAATATACTTTATAATTTTTTTGGTTCATAAACAATAATTCATGAAGCAAGAAAAATATGCAAAAAAGAAGAAGCAAAGGCTTATAATATAAGCATCATATTTATACAGAATTCTTTATTGCAAACAAATGAACTTATATGCACTTATAACATTAGATTTATATTTTATTTCAGAAATTTATTTTCATTTCAATACTATATATATATATATATATATATATATATACATATATTATTTTTTCCTTCATTTATTGATTGAATTGTACAAACTCATAATCTTTATACACCAAAGTTGTAGTTGTGAGTATCAAAGCATCAATTTTCAAAACAAAAATTTATAACTATAACAAAACATATATATAAATGAATAAAATGATAAAAATCAACACTAGGTTAAGATTTGACATGATTCTTTAATTATTGCTTATAAATAAACTTCATTGTTATTGGATATTTAAATCAAAGCAAAAAATTTACTTTGTAGAAAAAATTAGCATATTCAAGATGGTGTAAATATAGAATTGCAAGTTAAATTCCATTTCATTGCCTTGGTCACCTTCACATCATATTCTTTTAATAAGGTTTTGAGCCATCATTTCACACTAATTCACATATTGGTAGAATTAGTATACATTCTCTTCATTCATTCTTTGTTGGTGCATTGCACAGAGTATTAAAAAATCTTATTTTTTTTGTTTGGTAATTTTTATTTTTACCTTAATTCCTATATATATATATATATATATAACCAAATTTGTTGTCAAAGTTATTATGTTAAAAATATTTCTTTAAAAGTAATTTGCTTTGAAGCTATTCAAAACATAACTTCAACTAGTCTTTGTTTCTTTTATGTCTTTTAAAAGTAATTAGTACTGAACTTAACTCAGAAGTTGTAAAATTGGTTTATTCTATAACAATAATTATTTTATATAAATAATTATATAGAAAAATCAAATGCTCTTGGCATTTGATATTTGTTGAGAGCATTAAATGTAGCCAACGCTCTCCATGCTATTTATTGTAGTCTATAGTATTTACTATAGCTATAGTGTTTCAAATGTAGTCAAGAGAAATTGTTTATCTTCTCCCAGTTTCTTTGTATAAGAGATATAATCCTATTAATAAACTCACTTCTTGTGTATGTATGTCTTTGTGTTTTTACATGTATGAATATATTACTTCTATCTATTCTTGTCTCTTTTTCTAAAACATTTTCAACATGTTAATAGCACGATTACTCTTATGCCCTAGTCTTGGTTCTTAAAAACTTATGTGCACTTTATCCTTCGTTTTTTTTTTTTTTTTTTTTTTTTTTTTCCTTTTCTTATGTTGTTGCTGCTATTGTACTGATGCTATTGCTATTGTACTATTGTTGTCTTGTGCTGTTGTTAATATTGTGTTGCTGTATTACCACATACTGTCGCCTCACTGCCACATCCTACAACTGATTGCCATTAATTGTTGTTGAACTGCTGCACCCTATTGCCAATTGTTGTAGTCCACTGGAGATCCTTATTTTTAGGGAAATAAAATCCTAAACTTTTTAACATTTTTTATTTTAAGTTTCAACTTTATCATTTTATTTGGCTTTATATTTTAAGATGCATTTTATTCAACCTTTTTTACTTAATCTTGTATTTTTGTTGATAGATTTATTTATAATGAGTGCTTCAACATCCTCAACTACTTCTATTATGTTTTCAATATCACTACTACATCATAGTATTTTCAAGCTCTTCTATTTCTACCATTTATTGTTGATGGAAATAATTATCTATTATGGACAAAAATGGCAAAAAAAATTATTTGTAGAATAATTCTTGAATAACTCTTGTGTTTGAAGAATCTTCTATTGTAAGTACTTCAATTCCTATTGCTATCCATTGGAAAGCACTTCTTCTCCTTCGTGGACATCTTATATCTGCATTACAACATCAATATTTAGAAATGAAGATCCAACCAAGCTCCCAGAGAATCTGAAATCCAATTTTGATCATCAAAAGACTATTTTCTTTTTACATGCATATCATGATTAGATACATTTATGTATCTTGGATTTTCTAAATTTAAATTCTTTCAATAATAAAATATATTGTATTATCTCACAACTACAATTATGTGGATAAAGCATTTCTAAAGAAATAATGATTGAAAAAACTCTCTCTATATTTCCTCCTGCATTTGTTGTGCTTATACAATAATATAGTAATATGAAATCTTAGAGTCATCATTTTCTCATGTCTTGTCTATTTCTTCCAAAGAAACAAAACGAATTTTTCTTCCGTAATACAAAAGCTCGTCCTATTGAAACCATGAATCTAGAATCTCATATATTTAATATTCCAAATTCTAAGAAACAATTATACAAACATAGAAAAAATACTTATAAATACTAGATCAGTTATAGTCGAGACCATTTCCATCTACATGGAAAGAATAAATGTTCTACAATTAATTACAATAGAAAAAAAAACTAGAGATGCATTCTTGTCATAAATGTAGAATGATTAGATATTCGGTACATGCATGCAATACTTCAGAATACTTTGTTAAAATATTCTAAGAAAATAAGAAACTTTGAGCTGAGGCTCGTGAAGTTCATACCATAGATGCATCCATGCATTCAATTAGTATTGATGATTTAGAGGCTTATATGAATGACAAAACTTCTAATGTTGAGTCAAATGATGTACTCATTGATTTTGCAACAACATATACTATCCTGTAGAATAGTGTCAAGGACAAGAACTCGATGAAAAAGCAATCCATACAAGTGAGCCTTCACTTAAAGAAAGATAACAAAATATAAATAAACAAGTATGTATATTGAAAGAGCAACTGGAATGGCTATTGCCAAAAGACAAGAAAACTAGAGAGCCTTGAAACTAAACTGGAAGCCAGAAAAGTGTTGACAAGAGTGAAGAAGGCTTCACTTTTGTCTCTATATATACTATCTAACTAAAGGCTACATGGCGACGTTCTATAGGACCTCCAATATGTGTTGACTTTGTAAGACACATACCTTGACTTATAAGGCAAGTTTTTCTACGTGTGGGCCACATTGTTAACTTGATCTTCAAGATGACAAGAAAAATGGTCCTAGCCTTCGATAGTCCAACTTGTCACAAGCACGAGTGGTCTTGATATTGCGACGAAGTAGCCATACCTTATCACCCAAGTGTAATGGTAGTTGTTCCTTTTGATAGACATTCGCATTGACCTTTTGTTGTTCTTGAGCCTCTTTTAACTGCGCCTTCATCGTTGCATGTAGCTCTGATAAATGAATCGCCAAATCTTTCAAAACAGAATTATCAACTTTTGAAAAGTCAAAAGTATCAAGTCATGGATGATAACCATAATTAGCAAAGAAAGGTGTTTATTTTGTAGAAGAATATATCATGTAATTGTAAGCAAACTCTATCAATGGCAAAAGAGTTGTCCAATCATCTTGTTGGTAATTAATGGTACATCTTAAATATTGCTCCAAAACTTGATTAACATGCTCCATTTATCCATCGATTTGAGGATAGAATGCTGAATATAGTTTTATATCCACTTTTAGAATCTTGAAAAGAGTCCGCTAAAATCTTCATACAAATTGAGTTCTCCTATCTAATATAATATCCTTGGGTAATCCATGATAGCGATAGATATTGTCTAAAAAGAACTTAGTTGTTTCTTCACCTGTGATAGATTTTGTACATGGTACAAAATGTGCCATCTTGGTAAAACGATCTACTATCACGAATATAGAATCATAAGAACATGAGATTGGAAGATCCTTGATGAAGTCCATAGAAACAAAAGACCATGGTTGTTCTGGTATGGATAATGGCTGAAGAAGTCCAAAAGATCGATGACGAGGAGTTTTTGATCTTGAGCAAACATCACATGATTATACAAAATCTTTGACTACCTTCTACATTTGAATCCACCAAAAATCTCTATATATCAGCTCCAAAGTCTTATTATATCCAAAATGTCCTACTGCTGGAAAGTCGTAACGAGCTTGAAGAACACGTAAACATGCTTCTCCTTCTGGAACATATAGGCATCCTT